TCTTTTTGCCAGAGGCAAACAAAGACTGAAGAACTAGTAGATGTGTATATATCATATAATGACAGCATTTGTTACTGTACATTGTTCTCAAATGAAAAATTGTCAAATGTGTCCTACTTCTTTTCCCCACCAAGTTTTCTTCTTTTATGTTCAGAAAAGTGACTGTGTTTCTGAATCTTACTTTGTTGCTCCTATTTTATATGTAACTTCTGTGTTCTTATTTTTCTCCATTTTTCTTTTTGCAGCTTGGATGTGTTAGAAGAGCCAGTTTCAACAAGATGTGATCATGTATTCTGCAGGTAGGTATGAAAACTGGGGGTTGCAATGCTTAGTCAATCTGTTATTATTCTACAGATAAGCTTTTTTAGTGCTAAGGGTGTATGCTATGTTTTGATAACTTAACATATAGCTATTTTAGGGGAAAAATCAATTCTGAATAAGAAACAACTGCAGTTTCACAGGGGATTGATTAAGTCATTGTAACATTGGAACACGAATACAGGCATTGAACTTGATAATGAAGGATTTCTACGAAGTGGTGCGCACCTAGGCTCAGTTTTAAAGCAAATAAGTCTTCCCTTTTGTTACCATTGTGATTATTCTGTTTTGCTAGGTTCTGCATGCTCAAACTCTTCAGCAAAAAGAAAAAAGCTGTGATACAGTGTCCTCTGTGTAAGGCTGAAGTTACCAAGAGGTAATGCATCTTTGCAAGTGGGCCTGAGGATGAGAAGTTTGAACTCTAAGGAAAAGTTAATCGTTACCTTAAAAATATTTTAGCAGAAGACTGAAATTAAAGAGAAGCGGTGGTTATGAAGTAAGCTGTCAGTTCTAAAGGAGTAACTCTTTAGTGCCTTATCTCAATATAAACTTTTTTGAGTGATCGCAGGTGAAGGCACCGTTCTTAGCAAACATTTGTGCTATCAAGTCTAGACTGTGTCATTGCTCAAGTGTTACAACTCGTTTCTCTGTGCTAAACCTACGTGAGGAAAAATATGAAATTTTCACTTTGTGACAGGTTTAGTTCCTGTAGTAATGGTTGTTTGGGGGAATCATGGTGTTGTTCCTTGGCAGCAATTTCTCATTGTCTCATCTTCCGCTTTGGCGTTTTACTCCTTTTTGTTCAACCAAAATTCTAGGAGAATTATTAATAGTTGACCCATACGTTTGTCTTAAAACAACTCATGTGGTGATGTTATTTCAGAAGTCTGAAAGAAAATTCCAGATTTAAGCAACTAATTGAGGGATTGTTGGAAACTATCCATGCGTTTGAGCTTGACACTGGAGTAAAGTGTAAGTGTCGTGAGTGTATACGCCCAACTTTTTTTTAAATACTATTTTGACATTTGTATCAATTATTTGCAGAGTATCCCATTTACTGTGCAGTACTTAATATGGGAAGAATTATCAAAAGTTTTTTCCTGCATGTAGAAGCATAAGTTCCATTAAGTTCCCAAGATTCTCCTATGATAACCTTTTGAACAGTCTTAAGGGCTTTTACTGTGCATTTGATGACTCCAACCAATGTTATTTTCTGTTCCTGAAATATGGCTGAGCATGTATCAAAAAGTCTTTTATCTATAACTGTGTCGCAAAGTCTGGCTCTTGGATATGCTCGGCCTTGCAGCTTTAGCTTGTTAAATAGTCTTAGAGCCTGAATTAGCAAGTGCTATAACAGTGTACGTTAACTTGTCCATTCAGATATACCCTTTTGGAATTCAAATTTATCCTTTCTAGTACTCAGTGCCTTGTAAAGGGTGTTGGCCATTCAGACACATGGTTGTTTATATTTTGGGAAACTACTGTTGTTGGGGCAGGTGGTGGTTTGTGAGGTTTGGGTTTTTCTTTCCTTAGTATATGGTGCTATAAAAACTAGAATTCCTTTTCAAATTCTTTTCAACTTGTTCAGTCATTCTAAAATCACTACTACTAGATCCTGTTCGTGCTAGATTATCCATATAAACAAAATTGGTTGGGAAAATTAGTTGGCAAGATCAAGATTTTACTTAATACTTGAAGAGTACTCATAAAGAACAATCAGACTAATAATTCAATATATAATACCTGTTGTGCTCAGTGTAAGAAAATATTTTTGCTTTTTTTTTCCTTTTGACATTTTTCAGTTTTAAACAGTCATTGCCTTCCTAAAACATCCACAGAAGCCACTGCTGCTGAGTTCCTGTGTAAAGAAAGTTCTGTCATCCAAAGTAAGGGCTTCCGAAACAGGGAAAAAAGTGCTAAAGAAAATGGACAAGAAAACTACACCTCGGTATTTCCTGTCCCCCACCCCCAGTTTATTTTTGTGGATTGCTTAGTGTTTTACTTGGAATGTGTATACATGTATATACATAAATGAATGGAATACGAGATTTTGGGGTTGCTTTCAGATCACTGTTTGACTTGAATATTGTTCTAGATGAGGACATCTAAATATTTTTGTCTTTGTAACCTATTTTAAAAAGTTGTTTGTATAAAATTACCTTAACTTAAAGATAATATTGCCATAATATATTCTCTTCCTGAAACCGGGATTGAAAGCTTTTTGTACTGCTTGTTTAATGATGCTGTCTATCTACTGGTAGACTTTTTACTTTTTTAGTCGTAAGATGATGAAGATGTCTTAAGAATTCTTAACACATTACCCAACTTAGGGTGGTTGCTGCATGTATGAGTTTGTTCATGGTATGCTGTTTCTTATCTCATCTGCTCTGTGCTGAACAGAATGTTAAGATAAAACTGTTAAGGATTTGAGCTGTTAAATGCGTAATTGTTTCTATTAACATATTCCATTACTGATACCACTGTGATAAATTACCTGTACTGGATTTTTGTGTAGAGGCTACCAATTTAAATACTTAGTTCATATGTGTCAGCTTCCCTGCTGTAGTTTGAATAAGTATAATTACTTCTTTTTTTTTTTTTTTAAAAATAGCCTACTGTTGTAAATAACTATTCCTTTCTATTTTCCTGTCAACAGGAAGCTGATGTGGATACACAGCTTACAGATACCAGGGTCAAAAGGTGTTCCCAAAGAAACAAAACCCAGAAACGTGACTCTGAAAAAGGGATTTATATAGAGTTCGGTAAGACCTGTTGTACCTCCATACTAGTTGAGCTTATGTATAATACTTGCAAAGTAATGAAAGGTGATGAAGTTCAAACTCTTTATAAACACTAGTTTCTCCTTACCACTCAAAATGAGAACACAGGGACAAATGATGGACAATTCCAAGTTGGTAAATCAAAGGGGTTTGTTGGGGTTTTTTTACATAACTTATTGTATTGTAGGAAATAGTGCTGCTGTAGTGAACATTTAAGGCTCAGTGTGCAAGATTCAAAGAAAAAATGCTTACAGATGTGAAAAAAGTTATAGCTGTTATAACTAATGATAACTTCTGTTTTCTAAAGAATATTAAGCCTTGTCACCAGTATTTGAGGCTCTAATTAGTAACCAGAGATAAGAATGAAATCTAATGGAGAAAAGAATATTTCATTTCTGTCTATCCAAGCTTTTCAGAATTTCCTTTTTATCTGGTGCTGACTTCTGCAAGAAACAAGATAAATGCTGGACATAGTTCATTTTCTCCCTGTCCCTTCAAGGAAGGTTTAACAGATAGTGTTTGTTGCCTTTTGTATTTTCCTTGTTGCTTCTGCAAAGATCAATGAAAGGATCTGAGACAGATATTCGAATATATTGCTCTGACTTCCAGTTCTAAATTCTAAATACTAGCAGCTGTTTCACGTATAAATTTAGAAATTAGGAACTATTAGCTAATTTACTCTTGGTAGCTCTTTGTTAGCAGTTGCTGTATTTAAACAGAATTTTATGGTGGAGCCTTGTAGATATTTATACATAGAAATGACAATAAGGTAAAATGTTGCACAATTGAACTTGATTTCATCTGATAAAAGTTGAAAGCATCTACCAGTAGAAAGAACTAAGCATACATGCTTCTGTGATAATAAACACTGAATCTGGCAAGTCATCTTTCTCTGAATCATTTCAACCATGGTAACAGCTGATTTGTTTTTAGGCTCAGATTCATCTGAAGAGCTTTTTAAACAGGCAAGCCATAGCAGGTAAGCAAAGGTGATGAAGGAATTAATATTTTCTAAAGACAATAGCTCCGTATTCTCATTCCTATGTTTTAGTTTCTTAGCATAGGACTGACAGAATTCTTCAAGCTAATGAGTGATTGTCGACTTTGAGGGCCTCAGAGTAGAATGGGTAGCTGGCTCCCATCAGTTTGTCATATAGTATGCTTTAGAGCTATTTTCTAAATGTTTTGTTACTTACACAGGCATTAGATCTTCAAGAGAAAAGCATGTACTATGCTTTAGAATGTAAATGTTAAATTCAGAAATGTGGGAGGGGATCTTTTAAAGAAATGGCCTGAAACTCTGAAAGGATCTAGTTGTGGCAAGTGTGAATCATGCAGCCTCACTTCTCCAAAAACTACTTCAGAAAGCAAAAAGGGGAAAACTAAGTATCGTATTTTATTGTGGCTTTCTCTGTATCAAAAGTAGATTTCCCTCCCCAACAGGTCAGAAGACAAAGAAGCGCTTCAGATTTCATCTCAAGAAAAGCTAGAAGAACTTAAGAGTGCTGAGAAGGGGAATGAATATTCTTGCAATGCACAGCCTGACAAGCTGAGTGCTAAAGGAATAATTCTACCAAACGTCATAGGTGTGTTTGTTTGGTGACAAACAATGATTAAGCTTGATAGACCACAAGTTAACACTTTGATTTCACGTGATTAGATATGTATACTTGCAGTCCTCTATGTTGTAGTTTTGTTGATGCCTACAGCTGATGACTATGTAATACAATACGATACCTGTAGACTAGATACTTAAAATGTGGATATTCTGTGCACGGGAACACAAGGGAAAAAAGTAACTTAATCAAAGTGCAAAACTTACTCTATTCTCCATAAGCCATATTATCCCTTGTAACATGAGTAGAGAGCACTGTCTGGTAGTTCATGTAAGAAGCTGGATGAACATGTCATATGTAATTTGATTTTTTTTTTTTTTTTTTCCCTTTCTCTAGAGGGAGATTTGTGTGGTGTAATATTCATTTTGGGTGGGAAGTAAGAACAGTTCTTTTAAAACAAAATAGTCATTAAGCTTGTAATTGTTCTTATGCATGTTAAAAAAGGCTTAGTAATTTATAATACCTGTAAATCTTCAGGTGAAAGTGATTTCTTGAAGGAAGGCTTGAGCAAGAAAAGCACTCAGAGCATCACTGAACACGCCAAACCTGGCCAAGTGAATATGACTGAAAACGAGAGTTCTCCTTTAAATGTTCTTGCTGTAGACCTACTCACAGAGCAGTGTGACAGAATAGGTAACGACAGTTCCTTAAGGAATGAGGACACATCTTTCTTGAACACAGGAGAAATGGATGCAGAGCGGTGTCAGTGCAATAGTAAAAGCAAAGAGTTTCACTTAAAAGGTAGCTCAGAGAGCAAGTTGGATAAAAGCAAGGAAACAGATATTGCTGTACAAAGTGTGGAAGCTGTGGAAATGTATGAACCTGAGAATGATTCTTTCCATGAAAAAGAACTTCCTCTGGAGAAACTACTTCAGCCAGAGACACCTCACTGTGCTACCCTGAATCAAGTCTCTAGGAAGAGACTGAAGCGAAGCATTCAGAAAGTCAATGAATGGTTTTCAAAAAGCAACGAGATTCTGTCTTCTAACTCTTCCCAGGATTCTGCTGGAGCAACTGATGTTTCAGATGGAGATGTATGTTTATCAGATAAAGATTCTTGTATTTCAGAAAAGACTGACCCTATGGTACATTCCATGGAAATTGCAGTGATTGAGGAAAACAAGAAATGGTCAAAACAAACAGCAGATAGCATCAAAGACAAAATATTTGGGAAAACGTACAAGAGAGAGAGAAAGTCAAATACTCCTATTAATTTGAGAGGTGTTATACCCGCTACAAAAAACGAAGATGTGGCTGCTGATCAGAAGTGCTTGAATAATTCCAGCAAAGACAGACTAAAACGAAAAAGGAAGACTGCTCGCGTCCTGCAACCTGAGGATTTCATCAAGAAAAAAGATGAAGAGGCAGGTGAGTGCCCTCCAAGTGTTAAACAGTGCCTTGGAGATGCTGAAAAGAGAAGATGTGATGAAAGTTCTGCTGTAAATGAGAATCACCTCTCTGAGAACAGAGAGGATAATACACTAGCAGAACTTGGAGTAGGAGCAGGATCCATATGGAAAAAAGATACTGAAAAGATGACTAGCAAGCACTGTGATGGGGAGCTAGAACTGAATAAATGTGATGAGAAAAGCACCAAAAAAAAAAGTTCTACAGCAAAACAATGCAGGCGTTCCACTAGAACCATGTGTGCTCTACAGCTAGTGGTGGATAGAAATGCTCTTTCCCCTGATCCAACCGAGCCACAGATTGATAGCTATCCAAGCAGTGAAGAACCAAGGAAAGTTGATTCTGAGCAAAGGCAAGTCAGACGCAGCAGGAGGCTTCAGTTAGTTTCTGACAAAACTACAAGAGAGACAGGAAAAGGAGTAGTAATTAAGGGAGCGAGAACATATGACAATGATCATGAAGGGGCTTTGTTTGGAGTCCAAAGGAATGTGTTAGTTCACACTTCTGAATGCAAAGACCGCTGTGAGCCGCAGGGTACCTTGCATTTCAAGCCACTCTCTAATCTGAAGGGTAGTGATCTGGAAGCAAATGAAACACAGATTGGTCTAAAGAATTCACTTGACACTGCAGAAACTGGAATAAGTCTCTTCAATCCTACATCTTCACATCAGTGTTCAAATTTTAGTTCCTTTGCACCTGATGCAGGTTTTCAAGAAGGTGAAATACTAGGTAGCCCTTTCCTCCTACAGTCTCCTTCAATGACTGTTTTGCAAACTGCTTCCCACCCACCTGAAGACATAACTGAATCATGTACTGCTTTTCCCCAGGACAGTGGACATGATACACAAAATGTTCCAGGGGACTTAATAACTGAAAAGTTGCCAGTGGCTAAAAATGTTTTGGATTTGACCAAGGAGGCTGAAGATAGTGAGTTAGACACACAGTACCTACGAAATATATTTAGGCATTCAAAACGCCTGTCATTTAGCCTTTATCCTGCTCCTATGAAGGCGTGTGCAGTAGAGGATGCTGCTTCTGAAACTTTAAAGATACCATGTGCTGATCAGGTAGAAAATAAGTGTAGCAAATACTTAAAAACAGAAAACTTGCAAGAAGAGAAAACAACTGCTGAAAGCTTGAACAGTGTTTGTGAGAAAGAGAAGCTTAAGACCTGTGAATCTGCTTGTGTTAGTACTGTGACTTGCTTTGTTGGCAATGCTGAATGTATGCACACAGGGGAACATGAAGATGTTTCACAGGTTGCAAATCAAAGGACTCTGACACCAGTAAGAATGCGTAGTGCTGGGACTGAAGACAAGAACAAATCACAAAAAGGGGAGCAGGGAAGTGAAAAGACAGTGTCAAATGACGTAGGGATAGAAAGTGAGTTGAGACAGAATCCAATCGAAAGTAATAGAAGCCAAAGCGATCAGAGTAATATAGAAGAGCGCATATTCGAAAGAACCGATTTAGACACAGTCAATGAAATATGTTTCAGTTCAGAAAGCAATCAAGCAGGAAAGACCAAAGTTGTGGACAGCAAAGGAACTATGCTACGCCTTCAGTCCAGATCAATGATTTGTCCTGCAATTTGTCAGCAAAGGCCTGCTGTATTCAGCTGTGAAGTCATTGGGAAAAAAAGTAGCAAAAGAGAAAGAAAACAAGTGAAGGGGAATGAAGAACAAGCAACCCAAACTGGTAGCACAGGGATGCCTGAGTGTTTGGTTGCAGAAGAACCTCTTAAAGCAAATAATGATTTTACAGGTTGGTCTGAAACCCCTGATGGTTTACTGTGCTCTGATGATGCTATTGAAGAGAACACTAGCTTTTCTGAAACTGATAGGAGAGAAAGATCTGCCGTGTTTGTAAAAGGAAGTGACAATGCCCTGGTTAAAGAGCTACGCAGTAGAAATGTAAGTTCTAAGCCACGATCTCGAAGAAAAGCACAGAAACTGCGATCTTCAGATGAAGAATCTAGCGAGGATGAAGATTTTCCATGTTTTCAGACATTACTATTTGGCAAATCAGTAAGCACACCTTTGCAGATCAATAAACAAGTGACATCTGAGGCAGAGTCTTCAGTAAGTCCTATCACATTGCCTCACAATGGGAGTCAAGATGACAGTAATAGGCAGAAAATGCCTGAAGCTGCCCTAAGTAATGGGTGTGTTTCACCAAGCCAGGAGTCGGAATGCTCTATCAACTTATTTTCTTCCCAGTCCCACATGTCTGAAGAATCAGTTGATGGAGCACAAGAGCTGAAGAAACCTTTAATACAAGTTCATACATCCAAACAAGTGAGCAGTGTGAATGAGAGTAAAGAAACTTTTCAGAGTCATGTTGGAGGGCTGAAGAGAAGCAAAACTAACTTCAAAGATGAACGCAAAGAAGATCCAAACATGGGAGCAAACCTAGGTACAAACCAAGATTTTTATCTCTGCAGCTGTGTTTGTAATTTCATTGCACCTAGGTTTTTGGTGTTTGCATGGGAACTTCTGTTCTGTATTTATGTGGTTCTTGTATCAGCCCTAAACAATCAAAAAACCTCTCAGTGCTTTATTTCCTGAAAATTAAGCTATTCCAATATTCTTCAGAGCAAAAATGAGTAGGCTGGGCACTAGGGGCTGGACTGAGTCTGTCTGCATATTAACTTTTGAGTGAAATGCAAACTTTCTTACTGCAATGTGATACTTGCATCTATCAGCAAAATTTCATAAAGCTTGCCTAAGCCGTTTCCCCAGATGAAGTGTTTGTTGAAATTGGCTGTAGAATTCTGTAGTGCTTACTTTCACCTTTTTATGGCTTTCATAAATATTTAGGACTCTTTCATTACCACTGAAACAGTTTAAGTTCTGTTTAATTTGCCAGATGTGTGACTTGGTATTCTTTGAAATGTTCACTTAAAGTCGATCTGAGCATCTAATGTAAGTGTTTTCAAAACTTGTCACTTTATTGTAGTTAACCGTTGGCTGAAAGGTCTGTGTGGTAAGAGATTATGGATAGTGTTTGTCGGGTTTGGGTTGTTTTTTTCTTTAACTCAGCTTTTCTTCCACCTTCTTCAAGGTGAAGCATCTGGGTATGACAGTGAAACGAGTAATGCAGAAGATACATGTGGACCATTCTCTCAGGGTGAAATCCTTACTACACAGGTAAGCGAGTTTATGCACTGACCTCTAAAAGCAGTTTGCATTCTAGCACATAAGCAAGCACATGAAAGCTGTGAAGTCAGTGTAGTGGGAAACTGCTGTCATCATAACTTCTTGTGTTGCTAGAGTACTTCCAAGAGCATAATTAATGAAGAATTGTAGAACTGCTTCCATGATGTTACTTGTCCAACTTTGCCTTCCATGATAACATTACATTCTAATGGCTGTAACTTATGTGGTATTGATGGCAGTGCTTAATTGTGGGAGATGCTAGTTAATGAATCTCCACACTTGACTGATGTTGGAAGCCTCAGCTTCCTGTGTTTAAAAACTCTGTTGACAGGAATTTATAAAGGTTGGTGATAAGAACTGGATTTGCTGCATTATGATATTTAGAAGCATGGAGACTTGCCTGCCAAGGGTGAAGATCAAATCATTCCATATTAGAGTATTATAGATATAAGACCCAACAGGCAGTGTCCAATGAAAGGTGTGTCTAGCACAGTACATTTTCTCTACTATTAATTTCATGATTACTGCTTGCTGGCCTGACTTTGTGTTGGGTGATTGGTGTGGGGATTTTTCAGTTGTGGGTTTTTGGGGGTTTTGGTGTGGTTTGTGTTTTGTTTTATTTGGTGGGGGTTTTTGTGGTTTTTTGTGTTAGGTTTTTTTTTTTTGTCCTCTGTAACTTCAAGGTAGGTCTTATGCCCAATCTCTCGTCAGCATTGACAGACCTACGGGTTTTAATATATGTGACAGAAGACTGAATTTCGTTTTTGTGCTTTATGGGTGGTTCTTCTGTTTACTGCGTCAGTGCAAGAATGTTCAACTGGCAGGACATTGCTCCCTGATGTAGCTTCATTGATAAGAGTCTCTAGGATATGCTTGGGTTGAATGGAATAGTGGCAGTATGGATTGGTGGGGAGTTTTTTTGTTTGTGTAGTGGTGGTTTTCTGGTTTGTTATGGGTTTCTTATTGTTTCAGTAACAAGGAAGTTCCACACGGTGCCAGTAATAGAGCTACAAATGTAGTATCCAGTGCTGTAGAAACTGCTTTATCCTGCATGGTGAAGGTTTTAGGTTTTTGAAGGAATCCTTTGAGCTCTTCTTACGAGGAGGTGTATGTGGCATGTTTTAGTAGAGGATATGGTAATTTTTGAGAGAGAATGTAAGGAAGAGTAGGATGAAATATTTTATTCCTTTTAAACAGTCTTTGGGGCTTTCAGTAATGGTGGAAAGCGCAGAGGCTCAATACTTGATGTTCATTATTAAATTTTAAGTGGCTAGTGCAAACTAATGCAGTTGGGACAAAACGACTTTCAAAGAAATCTGTGCAGAAGTTTTGTTTTGTTTTTCCTGACTGATTAAACTCTGCTGAGCCATCTGAACTGAATTAATTTGAATAGCAAAATCACTTGCATGGTTGTTAGGGGTTTTTTCTTTTGACATAGTGTGTGTGCATTATTTGTCACAGTAAAAGCACCACAGTCTCCTTTTGAACATGTGGTAAAAACTAATTCAAAATAATTTTGCTGTTTCTAATTTTCAAGCTTTTGTTAAAGAAATTAACCTTACTGTTTAAAACTGAATTTACTGATGTTGGCATAATTGTGTATCCTTTGCAGCAGAAGAATGCTATGCAAAATAACCTAAAAAAACTTCAGCAAGAAATGGCTGTACTTGAAGCAGTGCTAAAGCAGCATGGAAGTCAGGACTGTGAATTTTTACCTATCCATAAGGAACTTCCACATTCCAATACTGAAGGAACACTTGGAATGGAACAAATGAGACAAAGAGGTAAATAGCAATGAAAACCTTTCCCAACTTTCTTACGAACAGCTGTATGACTATTACTAGTTCCCTCTACCACAAATTACAGTGTTAATTTAAGATTGATACGTTAGCAGAAGTTTACCCAAATTCAGCTGTTCAGCAAGACATACATGTTTTGTTTGCAACTTGGCTACTACACTTAGTCTAAAAAAAACTCCTGTTACAGATCTGTGTGGAATTACAGGTGTGGTTGTATACATGGTGTGAGTAGGCCTTGTGCCTTGGCTGTACTAATCCATGTCGCTGTTCTGTCAGTTCTAGTTGTATTCTTTGTTTTCTTTCACTGGAACGGGTAAGGGATTGGAAGAGTGGCTGATCACCCAAAAGGACTTGGCTTCTATTGCTGTGGTAGAAATTGTCCTTTAGCATATCAAGGAACAAGACAGAAATTAGGTTAGGCATCTGTTGGCTGTTAAAAGTAATACAGTGCAGATAGGCTGCTGATGGGCAAAGAAGAGGATACCTACAGCGGTGTGCAAGTCCCCTGAACAGGACATGAACACAGACTTCCTAGCTCACATCTTAGTTTTGTAGATTATTTAGTATTCGAAATAAAATGTAGTTGTTAGCTGTGCTTCAAGTGGCTTAGTATTCTCTTTTGGGACCCTTACTTCTCTAAAGTGTATCTGGATTGAGATTTTAGAGAATGCTTGACTTCTTACCTGAAGGAACAATTAAGAACAGTTGCTTTTATTTTGCTTAAGAACTATTTTTCTTTTTTAAAGGCGCAGAGTCAACCTCGGAAGGGAATTTTGAAAATCATAACCGCAGCAGTTCAAAGGGATTTTCAGCCAATGATTTCTGTGTTATGTCAAGTGATTCTCTCAGCAGTAAAATCAAAGAGTTAGAAAAAGAAAGGTAAATGGTTTTGGTTGGGGTTTTTTGGTGGGTTTTTTTACTTTTCATTCTAAAATTGTATTTTAAATAAAAAGGGCGGAGAGGATAAAATCTTGACATAAATACCTCTCAGCTTTTAAGCAATTACAACAGCTTAGCTGTTGCTACATGATTCTGATACTTAGAAGAGTAAAAAAGGTATGTCCCTCTCAAGGTCTCCAGAATTGTTGCTTTCATCTTCTAAATACTCTATGTCAAAGAGACCAGATTTGGAGGAAGGCCTTCAGTGTGACAGTGTTCTGAAGAACAAAGCTCCTTCTGATAAGACAAAACCTGTGCAAGAAGCAGTGCAAGAATGTAGTCAGTCTCAGCTTGAAGCAGGTAACGTTTAAGAGGGATCCAGCACATTTTGATTTCTGCCTTTTTTTTTTTTTCCATGGTTTTCATCAGCAAGATACAACTTGTAAATCAAGGATTTTAATTTGTATGTTCCTGATCAATTTAAAAAGATGTTATCACTTATTTGGTTGGTTTTGTTTCATAGCCCAACCGTATAGCTGCCTATCAGGGTGGGGTTCAACAACAGGTTGTAATGGGAGTTATCTGTCTCACATATAAATCAATATTTCTTGACAGTACCTGTGCTACTGAAAGTTTCACAGGTCTTCTAGTGTCTCAGGTATAGATCAGGAAAAAGTAATGATAGAGGCAAAGGTGAAGTAATAAACAAATAAGGAGAGGAAGTGACTGCAACATTTGACCTTGAAAGGTAGAGCAACAACCTTCCACCATGACTACAAGAAGGATGAAATTGTTTCAAGGAGTAATTTCTCTTTTCCTTCAGAAAACATAGATGAGCAGAAACCTGGGACCAGGCTAAACAGTGCATCTGTCTTATCAAATCTTTCTGGAAATAAGACCGGGAGTCCAAATAACTCTTCCTCCTCTGTAAGGCTTCTTAACCCGCAAACTGCAGAAGCAACAAATAGTTCCATGGTAGCTCAGAAATCTAATAAAAGCTGCACTCAAGAATGTAAATCAAAGAGAAGTGTGTGTTTTCCTATATCTGTTCTGCGCAATGCCTCTGGGAAAGAAAATGCTACAAGTCCAGTTGTGACTAACAGGAAAGAAATGTCGATTGTGGCATCAGGTCTGAATCAAAGTGAACATGTAAGTACATTTCAGAAGTTTTAGACATCCCTTGTTAATTGTTCGTGATTACCACTATTGTCCTCGATATAGAGAGATCTGAGTATATTGGAAACTAATCTTACAGGAATTGCAGGTTAGTCATACAGCAACTCAAGTCAAACTTTTTCACTACTGAAAATAGGAAGCATGCTGCCTGTAAACAGCAGTATTGAGCTTAGTGAAGTTTGAACTTTAAATGACTGCCTGCTGTCTGGGGTAGAAACCCCTTGTTCCAAAGCAAGAGGACTTTATTTCTGGAAAGCCTTGGGGCTTGGAGGGGACTGGGTTGTTTTGTTGGTTGGTTCCCTTAATGTTCTCAGATGCTACTGCTTTACCCAAATTCTGAGCCATAGTGAGGATTTCTGTAATTAATCAATACTGAGTTGCTAATAAACCTGTTTCTATGATCCATTTCCAGGAGGATATGTCTTTTGGTTTATAAACTACTGGCCAAGAGCTCTTCTTTACTTTAGCCTGTTGAATGGTGCCAGAATTACTGACTTTTAAGGAAGTGCACATTCTGTGTGCCAACAGAAATAAAACCATTACTTTAAATAAACTATCATATTATGTTATACTCCTATAAACTGGAGTTGTTGGGTTTTTTAATCTGTTTTGCTAGCTATTAATTTTCTAAACTGCTTTTCAGTTGGTGGTCCAGAAGTTTGCAAGAAAAACTCAGAGCGCTTTATCTAATCGCATTACTGAAGGAACAACCCATGTCATAATGAAAACAGGTTTGTTGGGAGCTATATCAACACATCCTATATTTACGTGCCATATAGAATTTTAACTCTAGGCTAACCATCAAGCAAACAGTTCAGCAATAAATTTGAATAAGTTTGAGGAGAAGGTATTAATTGTTCTCTATCATAATTTTTTTTGTTTAAACTTAATCTTTCTTATTCTGTTTCACAGAATCAGAGTTGAGGGTATGTTTTGCTTCCTTTTGTGATTGGAAGTTAATGTTACTTAATTTTTTCTTTCCTCCAGCTGTTTGGTCACAATTTTCAGGTGTTTACAGCATGCTAACATGAAGCAGTTCAGAACCAACCAAAAAGAAAGCAAAGTAGTTCCTAAAGAAATGAGATACAGACATTCTGGAAATAGGATGCTATTTTGGTTTCCTAATCCCTTGCAGTAATTGTAAATGCTGTTTCATTCTAAATTTTTGAAAGAAACTTATATTGAATAGGAAACTGGAAGCAGGACTTAACTGTATGTATAACTGATGGTGGTTGATTGTGAAGGCATGCTTCCATAGGAACAAAGCAACACTACCATTTCATCATAACTATTATTTGTGTGCTTAATTAAGGTACTTAGATTAGGTTTTGCTCTTTGGTAAGACTCAAGAATCCCACTATTAAAAGCTTGAAGGAACTTTTTAGGAACTTCAGTACGATACTACAGTTTCAAATTTGACAAATGTATTCTGAAACAGCATTATATTGACTTCAGAAAAGCATAACATTCATCAGTAAAATTTAGTTACTGTATTGCTGCATCTAGACATAGGTTCTATTTAAGCGCTCTACTGATCGTATCACCTAGCTTTTAACCAACATTTTCTCAAACAGCAAAAATTTGAGCCAAATCTGGGTGTGGGTATGCTATATACTGTGTTTACATTTTGCTTCATAGAAGCACTTCTGGCTGGCTTGTATTTGGATACAATCCATCACATAAGCTTTTCTTGCTTTTGAAAACCACCATAGAAAAGGAGCCAGAAAATCCTGTTACTCAAATCTATGGACTCAATTTTTGCCTTTCTTCAGGAAATATATCATAGACACCATGACTGTACACTTTTAGAGAGGTACACTGTTCTGTCTTCATACAAATACAGATAGGATAAACTGCCTTCTGCAGTCATGCCTGTTCTGGTGGAGTAGAAGATGATCGTAAATGGCTAGTCATATAAAAGTTTGTGCCAACACTAAGCACTGAATCCTACTGTTTGTGTCCTCTGTCTTGACTAGTATTCATGCTTTTTGTTGCCTCTTATCTCTACTGAATAACTAAAAAAGGTTCAGAAGTTGTACATGTTATTAGTTTCTGTTCCATTCCTTCAGTTTAGTAGAACTAGGACACTAGAATTTCAGAACCTTTCTATAGATGGTCTTGGTATTTTGCTGCTACACTTGGCAAAAAAACGTCTGCTTTAAGGTACAAATAACCTGAGCTGGTTTTGTTTGTTGATTTGGTTTTTTCCACTAATGGCAAAACTGAGTGAGATCTTATTCTCATTTGTTCTGCAGATAAGGAGCTGGTGTGTGAACGGACACTGAAGTACTTTCTGGGTATTGCAGGAAGAAAATGGGTAGTTAGTTACCAGTGTAAGTATAACTTGTTTTGGAGCTACATGGTCTCTGCCCTTCTGCCACAAATGTACACTTCAATTGTTCTGGTTAAAAAAAAAAAAAAAAAAATCCTTGTCTTGGCATCTGATGTTTTGCAGAGTTTCTTCTAAATACTTTAAAATAAATAATTAAAATAAAAAACCCCACACCCAACAACAGAACAACAACCAACCAAACAGCAATATCAAGCTGCTGCTGCTTCTGAATACTTTTCCTGCTTTCAAATAACTACATTGGATTGCTCCACACGCTGACAGAAGCCTTTCCTCCCTCTTTATTTAAATCTTTGAGATGCATGGCATCAGTTATTGAAAAATTAATATTATTTATAAAAGGTAAAAAAATTCTTTAAGTTCTTTCAGGCATCATATTGTATTCAGTTTCCCATAGTACAAATATCTTCAATTTAATATAGCAATGAAGTCAAGACTGTTGGCAGTAGAATTTGGCTGGATAAAATGACTTGTCCTGTTCTGATCTTTCTATTTAGGGGTAATTCAGTCTTTTAAAGAAGGAAGGATACTGGATGAGGTAGGTCTTTTATCTTGAGTGAAATGTCAGATGCGTAAGCAATGCTGTTAGACCTATTAGTAACCTCAGATATTGTCTAAATATTTAATATATGGAAATTCAGCTCTAAAAAGTGGGACTCTAGTTTTACCAGATGCTAGGACCAAAAGCTACACTTAGCCTACATGTATTAATTGTTATTGAAGACATAGTGGGTCCCCATTGTTTTTTGGAATGGGTTATAGGCATATTTTTTTATAAGTGTTCCTACTGATATTGATGGATTACAGCATAGAGGAAAAGATCTATTGTTTGCTGAAGGAAACAATGTTGGAACATAGCTATATACATAGTTTTGGGGGTTTTTTAACTTTTAGAATAGCCAACTACTGAAAACTTGTTCCAGCAGTTACTACCCTTCCTGGTAGAAATGGCTTACTTGGTATGACCTGGATTTTTGTTTTCCTGGGTAGTATTTGGATTTTCATTCTCTAGTGCAGATTTTTGAATAATGTCACATTAGTGACACTGTATAGATTTCCTATATCTAATGAGCAGAAATGCCCGCTTTCTGGTACGAAATCCATATGTCCTTTTGTCAAGCCAAGGGTGAAGAAGAAAATTCTTAGCCCCAAAAAGGCCCTAGGAAGGGATATTAAAGGTCCTCCATTGCTTGGAGCGAGAGGGGGATGTTGCTACAGAATTGACAGGGAATGCTAGAACGTGGGACGGCTGTTAACATGGTCATACACTCTCACATTGCTTTAAGCAAGGAGAAGAGCCTCCAATTGTAATGAAAACCAAAATTTTCTCAAGTACACTGAAAATATACAGCTGTTCTTCGTACTCTTGTAGCAGGTTAGACTGCATGGAAGTTTTGGAGAAGTTTGAAGAAAGTATCCGAGAAATAGGACTCTGAGTCAGATGTAGGCCTGACATTATCAATGCAGCACTGTATTTGTTATTAATCTATATACTAAGTGAATGCCTTGAAATAAAGTAGATGTTGAAGATCTAGAGGTTGTACTGATTAATTTCTATCAAATGAGACTTTATTGACAAGTTAATTATAGTCTTGGAGTGTGTCCCTTTTACAGTGTGCTAGACTACTATACAGTTTGACTATAATTTGTTTATTTAAACATGGTCTGATGCTGCAGGGATTTCATTACTGCTCTCCATCATTTTTCTTGAAAAGCCTTTTAATTAATTTTCTGCACACACTTAGTTGTAAGGTTTCCAGTTCTGATATCTGGCAACTTCTTCCTTTTCCGATCAGAACTCTGACCAGGAAAGTGTTCTCAGTCTCTAACTTCGGATTGCTTCTTTATGTTATGTTCCAGGAGAACTTTGAAGTTAGAGGAGATGTAATCAACGGGAGAAACCACCAAGGACCTAAGAGGGCTAGACAGTCACTGACTGAAAAGGTCTGAGCACATCAGGGATGAAAATCCTGTCCTGCTGTGGCTGTTTCAGCCATGTGGCTATGCTAGCTGACTATCTGGAACTTGTTCCAATTTCTCTGCTGTTCTGTACATACAGAGTTATACAAATTAAGCATTTCTGTCGATGAAAGGTGAGGTCTGTTAGCAGCAGAGCAGATATGCTCAAGTGACTCACTGTGCTGAGAGTGAATGCTATCTTTTTATACCATCAGTATAGGATAGCACAGGGTTGGGGGGTTTTGAATGATGTTTTGTTTTGTAGGTCACAAAGAGCTTCAGATATACTTTGTGAAACAGCGATCACTTGATAACCAGTCCTAGAAGTGCAATGAAACCAGCATGTTGGATATTGTCCTTTAAAGATACCAGATGTGCTCTGTTAACATGTTCCTTGTTTTTCAGATCTTTAAAGGCTTTGAGATCTGTTGCTGTGGACCTTTCACTGATATGACTACAGGTGTGTCATTTTAGTGGAATTAAATGAACTCTTAGCTTAAAAAATATTTAGAGGGGGATTGTGTGCGTCCAGCAGAATTTTACACTTGACCTCTTCTTGGATACTCTTGTACCTCTTTTGCTCTGAAACTTTCAAAACACCCATGTGAGGTATAGTATAGGTAGAGGACTTGATTCGGTTCTATCTCCAGATAGAATGAAAATGCTGTTCTCTTATGTTTGGATGTCTCAGAGAACCAGCAATTTTGCTGTATTTCAAAACAAGCCTTTTATCTAGTTTATCTCTGATTCTCTAGCAATGAAGGAAAAGCATTAATATCATGCTAGCTGGTAATTGAGATGCTGTTGAATACTTGCATTTGAGCAATTTTTCTTCTGTCTTAGTAAACAGTTCCGAAGTATCTTTTTTCCAGCAGTTGACACATCGTCAGTGTAATCTTCGCTCTCTAGCAGCAGATGTTAAAAGTGAAACACACAACAAAGCCATGAGTTTATATATAAAGAAAAAGCTGAGCAGGATAGCTTGGGTTTGTTACTTTAAAATTGAATAAAGTATAGTAGATGTTTTGAAAATTTAAAATAGAATTTTTCTACTTAAAATATTTGTACCCCTCTTCCCATTTTTGTGGCTTATACAGCAGGTGCTTTCTGATTTGTCCAATATAACCTTATTTTTGACTGGGCGAAATATCCTCACATCTCTTGACATTTACAATAATTACTACAGGATGCAGTGCTTTTACCTGCTGCAGTGATCACCACTTGTGACTTATACTCAAGAGACTTGCTTGTCGTCTTCGCTATCAATTCAAACAATTCAGTTCTCATTGTTAATGAGAGATAATCACAGTTTTAACTTCTGATTTTTAATTTTAGTTTCATGTCTTACATCCTTATGATAGCAAGAAATAAATTGTTAGTGACTTTCTCTTTGTTTTGGGCATGTGGTGTTTTGCCTTTTCAGGGTGTTTTTGTTTTGTTTAGTCCTGACTAGAGGGTGAGGGAAGAGTGTGAATTGATGTTCCTCAGCAGGCCAGAAAGTGAAAGGACTTACTCTCTACTAAGGCTTACATTTCTTTCAAATCGTGGTAGTTTATATCTCGGAACAAACACATGGGGGCTTAAGGAATGGTATCAGTTTCAATGTGATATAAAGCATAGAAGTAATAGACTGTTTATCTGATTTCTTCAGAACATCTAGAATGGATGGTGGAGCTTTGTGGTGCCTCTGTTGTGAAGCAACTTCATCTGTTCACACACAGAACAGTGAGTGTTAATGAACATTACACTTAACATGGGTACGTAATGCACATGTTGAAAGATTACATGGCCTTCATGGGCTTGTCAAAGACTGGTGCATACAGGTATGTTAGAGAGGACTGTCTGCACGGCAATGGTGCCAAACCGCATGGCAAAGTTCTTGTGTTCTAGGCTCTGGCCACTCTGTAGTACAAGACAGGCTAACTTGTAGTGGAAAGCCGATCAGAGTACTCTGTTTAGGCCAGATAGTGCCGATTTCAAGAGAGGTTAGTTGAGCCCCACTCTGCACTACAAAAAGCCATTGATGCCTTAACTTAGTCACAGCATTCCTGGAGAGAAGTCACAGAAAAATCTTAGGAACTCATGTCTTTCTCCCTCTACTACCACTTCTTAAAGTCCTCTCTGAAGTGATGCACTGAAGCAGAGTTAGCCTAGTTATCGCTCTCAGCAGATAGGTGTGAGAGTGATTTAATGACAGGCAGATAACAGTAGTATTTATACTTTTTCTTGAAATCCTAGAGTTCTACTGCTGTCGTGGTTGTGCAGCCAGATGCTTGGATGGAAAACACAGATTATAGAGGTAAAATAACTTGCTGTCATGGACTGTTTTATGGTACACATCTAGTGTCTTTATCACCGCAGTCTTTTTAGTAGTTAAATATCAGAGAGGTTTGTAGAGGAATTGAAATAAAAATCCTACTGCATCTGGAGATGGAGGTATATCTTGGAAGAAAAGTCTGGAAGGGTGAGGTGTATTTCTCAAGAATCAGCAATGGAGTTTTAAAAGGTAGTCTGGTGGGCAAATACTGTTCTTGGCTCAGTTGTCCTGTGTATCATCAGCTTTACAGAAACTTTTCTGACTGAAGATAGTTTCTAAAAGGTGGGGAAGCGTGCTAGTCCTTGGGGGACTAGTAAGGTCAGGGAGAAAGCCTCAGATAGGACAAGATTTTCTTGGTCTGGAAAGAATATCTAGCTACAAAGTGTTAACTGATACAGCTTTGCCTTCCCCCCACCCCACCCCACCCCACCCCATTTTTTTTTTTTCTAAAATCAAAATACTCCAGAGACACCATGAGACCTTGAAAGTGCAGGTGTTCCAGACTAACTTACTTTTAAATGAGATGGAGTTATGAAATGAATGGGAGCCAGTTGGGCTACAGTGGAGTTCAACAAAAAAATGGAGCAGGAGGATGATATAAAAACAACAGCTGTTTCCATGGCACTGGGAAAATGAGAAAATACAAAGATCCTGAAACAGTGAAGAACAGTCTGGGAGCACTTCAGTAATTTTCTATTGCTTCTCTTTTAATGACTTAATGTCACGTACTTAGCATGACTGAGCAGACAGGAACTGAGGTTCTGTCACTGAAGTCCTAAATTAAAATCCAAGGACTGCACTCTTCCTTTTTTGTGTTTATTCTGTGGTGTTCAGAACTTACTGCCTGACTGTTTGCCAAACAGCTATGTATTTTTTTTTTTTTGAGCAGCAATATTACCTGCATTGTTAAAAGGAGTGCCACATCAGTGTTTTTAGACTTAATTTTTATCAAGGCCTTTAAAATATCAAAGATAAAGCAAATAGCTTAATCTGAAAGACGTCAGTAAGCTCACCTTAAGCTTGCTTTGACTCATTGATAACGGTTTTATCGTTTGTGTCTTTGTTTTCCAGCAATCCAGCTAAAGAATGATGTTGCCATGGTGACTCGAGAGTGGGTATTAGACAGTGTGGCTTGCTATGAGCGCCAGGAGTTCGGTGCTTACCTTGTGTCCTAAGGGTGATCTGCAGTTCTTTTTCCATTGCTCAGAAATTCTTACTCGTGCTGGTAGTTTGGTAATCATTTTAAGGACTGAGAATTTTTAAGTCACTTATGCAGAGATGATGTGTGTATGGTGGTGGTGTTCAGAGTAAAAAAAATCCTACACTTTTATTAACAATAAAGTTACTTAAACAACATTACCATGTAAAGATGGAATTACCCAGTGTTCTTTAAAGATTAACGTTTCTAATTTCAAACTAGTCCTTTAATGTAAAACAAATTTTTAAAGTTAGAAAATGTAGAACACAGCCTTCTCAGAGAAATGATGAGGTATTATTTACCATTGCAGCCAGAGTCTGCTTATATACTTAGGGACATTTTGGAGACAATCATTTAAAAGAGTAATATTGGGCTCAGGGCTTGAAGTATAATGTACTTGCACTTCCGAGTAACTTCCATATATTCATTTTGCGTAAATACATACCCTGAATAAGGGTGTATACCAATGTAATGCAATATTATTTTGTCATTACTGATGCATCAGCCTGGTTAATCATAGGCCATAGATTATAGTTGTGTTGAAACCTATACAAACATCTTTCCCATTGTATATAAAAGTGCCAACTTGCCCTAACCAGGAAAATTATTCACAAGTACAGCCCCTAAAAAGCCAACACTTGATTCTCAACATAAACCGATCCTTAAAGCGACGAGTCTATACCAGTGTGGCACCGATGAAGAGGTAACACGCGCTTTAGTATCCCAGTGACCTATAATAAGCCCTATAAGAATCTGCTTCTATAATAGTCCCTGCCTGCAAAATGAGACCGCAAGAAAATAAACTGCTTTTTATGGAAGAAAATATGTTGCTTGTGTCTGTTGCCAAGCAATTCAACTTCATAAATAATATTCTACTTTCAGAGCAGAAAGAACCTGCTTTCATAAATTTGTTTAAAAAAAATGTAGCTGAGTTCAGAGAATTGTTCAGTGCTCAGCTGCTGCTAGGTTGTCTTGGAAAGTATAGAAAGTATGTTTGTAAATACTGGAATGATCAAAAGAAATAAAATTATTTTGACAAGTATTTTACTTAATTGTTTAGCTGCTGTGATGTGAATCAGTCACTCAGTTACTACATTGAGCCGTATGAGAGAAAATATCTGAAGTCCAGCCTCCTGGAATGGGGGAAGGGAGCGGAGACTTACTGGAGGAGGTCAAAAATGTAAATTAGGATTTCGGAGCTGGAATCAGAATCGTAATTTCCATCAGCCCGAGAAGCAAATGTGTTATCAAGTGTCTTGCAGTTGCCAAGTGGAGGCAAAAGGCATTGCTATTGGTAGTGTGAGTGTTGGAAGCATTTGTTCATTGATGTACATTACTGTTTTCTTCTATGTGACGGTATTTCATAACTATTGAGGCTGTTCAATACAGCCTCAACTTCAGACTGATGCTACTCTTATCTATAGAGCCTCCATTGGTGGTCATGGTGGGTGGGTTTTTTTTTTTATAATCTACGATTCAAAAGATAGCTGGGGAGACGACAACCTGCCTATTAGCCATTGTGAAATCGTTCCTCAGATCTTGACATGAAGGTTGTCCTTCCTAGCAGGTAAGGTACTAGCTCCAGCTAGACCATTGTAGGAAGGACACTTGTGATATTGCCCCCCTTCTTCTGTGGAGGTGACTAGACTAGATCTGTGGAAACTCTGTTTCTAATTAAGTATCATCTGTGAACTTTTGTAGTAATCTGACTCTCATTTAAGATTTGAATGAAGCGAAACAGTTTGCCTGATAGCTAGATAAAGGAGAGATATGCTTCCAGAGAAGTAGACAGTTTAAAGGGGAGCCAATGTGACCTCCCTCATGGAATCCATATTGACTTCTCTAGTCTGACTTCCAGCTTCAGTAATAAAGCCCCAGCACTTGGAGCTTCACACCCACTATGTGGGTTGGAAATGCCGTTTTATACGTGAGGATCAGGCTGCATTTCCTCCCTGTTTGCTCCCATGCAAGAGCAGCTTCCTTCATGACACTTCCCAGGGTAGGAAGCCTCTGAGGTGAATGCATTTTTGAGACATGGCTAGGTCATGCTGTGCCTTTTACAGTAATTACCTGAGGGTAATGAGTAGCAGGATCAAACATCCTTAAAGAAAGAGACATCTAGTTAAAGGGGCTGCACACAAACTGTCTTAGTAAGCAGCATGTGCCTTTTATGCTATTCACTAGAGTAAGGGAGGAAACAAGGGAAAGGCTGGTGCTTGCTGTAGGATTGCCTGAGGCTTTGCCATAAGGCAAGTACTATATTCGTAATTAAAACGGCTCTGCTTTTGTAACTTAACAGGAGCTTTTCTCCGTGTAGCTGCATCAGTTTCCAAGAAACCTGCGCTCTGCTGCCGTTCAATGTGCACACCCCTCCCGTGGTCCCAGCGGCAGGAGGAGTCTATCGGATACAGAGCTTTGACCCAGTCTGTCTGGTCAGTACTTTCCTGACGTCGTGTTCAGGCTGTGCTTGCCCTGAATCGGTAGGAGCCGGTGCACCAGGCTAATGCTCTAATGCGTGGAAGTTTTCAAAGCTACAGAGGGAGTGGGGCAATTGAATTATTTCCTTCCCCTTTTCTCTAGGCTGTTAAACTCTTAACTTTCTAATGCAAAGCAGAGGAATTTACTGCTTTTGGGGAGCAAAGTTACCTGCTGTGCTAACGACAGCTAACCTTGCACTGGGGCAGTAGCAGGCTAGCTTTGTCTTGCAGCCACTGCACCAGCATTGTTGCAGCGTGTCGTCCCTTTTTTCCCCTGAAGATGCAGTTGAGAGTGTTTAGCATCTGATTCTGGGTAATACATTTTGCCTGATGCCTGGCAGTGCCAGGTGTGGTTTCTATTGTTCTTTACTTCACCAAGCCTTCAGCTATGTAGAGTGGGAATCACAGCTGTAGCACCAGGCAGGCTCATCAAAAAGATTTAGCCTGGATCTTGTCTAGTGTAGTATCTGAGATCAGGCACAGCCCAAAGCCTCGGGCCTTGCAGAGGTGTTCTGGGACTCCATTCCTGCCTTTTCAGCAGCCCAGATGAGTTGAAGTATTTCTGTGATGCTGCCTTATCTTACCACAGAAACCTTTAACGAGCCAGGGGGGTGGGGTGTAGAAGCTGTCTGGGGCTTATTTTCTAATATGAGGGAATGGATTCCTGGTTAAAATTCATGTATGTTAATTAAGTCTAGCTTTGTCTTGGGTCCTTATCAGCCATGTAAGCAGCCTGTTACCAGTTCAGACTGTCCTTTACATTTTGCTGCTAGGCAGCATGGAGTTATGCATTGACAGAGCCCACTCAGGTTACGTTAATGTTGCTGGAATAAATGTGTAATTACTGTTTGCTTCATAGCTATTGTGGAGGCTGCAGACTGAAGCAAAAGGGAGAGGTTTGTGGACTGTAGGGGGTAATTAAGAGTCAAAGTAAAAATATTACTCAATAGTTAAGAAGCCCGTTGCTTTTGGCAATATTGAATTTTGACGTAGGATTCTACTGCTGCTCAAAAGGAGTTTCTGGTCCTTAAGAGAACAAACGAGCAGACTTTCTACTGGAACATGGTGCAGCACATTTGTATCTAAAATGTGTGTGCAGTGCCTCTGGTGCCTTTCTCCTTGCTATAGCAGATGCTTCCCACATAAGGGGGTGAGACTGAACCATATTGTCGCTCTTCTTTTCCCCTCCTTGGTCCAGTTCCTTGCTCAGAGCTCCTCACCACGCAGCCACAGGTGCTGATGATGATAGTGGAAACACCTGCATGGCATGCTTGTTGAGGACTGATGCTCTGAGGAGTCCACATGCTAGAAATTCCAGCTGGGTTTGTTTAGCCTGGAGAAGGCTAAAGCAGTGGGGGGCAGGGGAGGGGAGGGGTATAACTAAGAATCCCCTTTAATACAGCTGCCAAATTATGTCAGTTTTTACTACAACTTGAACATGCAGGATGGTGCCAAAGCACTGCTTTTTTCCACCTCTGACTGCCTGCTGATTTGTAGACTCATCAGTACACACGGTAATTGGCGGTGGCGGCAGCAGCAGTGGCTGTTTGCTGGGTATAACACCCTTTACATTCCTGATAGGTTATGGGTGGCAGCTTCTGCTCAAAAAGGAGGTGAAGGGGGGCTCTGCTATAACATAGAGATTTTAAATGCATCTACTAGCAGAGCTTTGTTATGCATTGTAAATGAGCTTCTTTGTGATTTGCTCTGAAAAAATATTAAAGTGGCAAATCCATTTAACATATGTAGCAGGCAAAGGAAGGAGAAGACAGCAGCTGGGATTCCCACAGTGGGCTCAGTTCTGATTGGGCTGTACAGAGATCGCCCTCATTCTTTCCTGCTTGGGGTTTTTTGGGCAGGGAGGAGCTCTTCAGCCTGCACTCCCTGCCTTGTCACTTCATTTTGTCATTATTGTTTGGAAAGGGACTTTATTGCAAAAGTGCATCTTTAATTTATTGGAACTCCAACTTGCCTACCTCCTTCCATTGAAGGAGGGTAGCTCCCTGCTTACGGGACTTATGGCAGAATTGGGTGTGTGTTACTGTGGCACAGGGCTTACAGAAGGGAAAATTGGATTCCAGCGGGCTGCAGCGTTGTCTGGCTAGGGTCTTTCTCTACACAGCCCTGCAGCTGAGCAAAGATTCATGAGACTTCACTGATTTATAGAGAGTGCCTGGGCTTTTTCTCCACTGGGAGAGGTGGAAGCTGGCTAAAGGACTGTGAGCTCTGGCAAGCATGCTGTGCTGGCACTGCCTAGATTACAAAGGTCAGTTATACAGCAATTGCGTTAAATGGTGGATCTCAAAACGCTTCACAGATATCATTGATCCTTCTTGCCTGTTCGCCTTCTGCTTGAGGCTGGATATTACTGCCCCTACTTTAGGAGTTGTTTCTGGTCTTAGGTAGATCAGCATTTTTGTGTACAGGAATCCTAGCCCTAGACAGCGTCTGTTTGCCAGACCAACTGCTCCTTCCCTGTGAAAGGAGACTTTCACAGGAA